ATTTTTATAAGCTATATTGCATTTTTGAAGAATACAATGTTTTCCTTTGATTTATTTATTTAACCAAGATTTGGTTTCATAGTTTAAAACTGTATTCACAAGTAAAATATCATACAAATAGAATGTCCATCGGAAGATTAGTGTCTCTGATATCTTAATAAGGAACAATTAGGCAGTAAGATAGACCTCCAGCAGCCCTCCCACGCTGTGCATCCTGTAGAAAACAGACAAGGGTAGTCCAAAGTTGAGAATGGAGAGCCATGCAGAAGATCCATAGAACTCCTGTTCCAGACCATTTGTATATTGAGGATGATCTCCAAAAGCTGACATGATCCATAACTGTAAAAGATCACAGCAATGTGAAACATTGCAGGCAGTAAGTGGAATTTGTGCATAAACATGTGATATATTTACATACTTTTCCAACATCGAACACATACAAACAGTAATGGTTCAGTCTGTAAGGTCCTACACGGGGTCAAAAACTGTCACAAAGGAGGAATGGGAGTCTTTGATTCAAGGTGCAATCACAACCAGGAAGTCCTTTCACAGTAAGGACATTTATCTATGGGTTCAATGAAGTGTACTATGCAAAGTATACCACTGTGTCCAATTGGTGGGCATAGTAAAAGTAAGGTATTCTAAAGGATGCGGTTTATTGTGTAGCTTTTTACATGCTTCAGCATCACTTTCCAGTAATGACAGTTGAGCATAAGGTGACTATTACAATTTATTGTTATTGAAGAGGTGTATGAGGGGGCTGGATCAGAACCAGGTTCCTACCGAATCGAAAAAAATTGCAAAAAAGTAACTAACTCATAAGCTTGTGCCATGTCTTATCATATTTTTTTCTTCCCTGTGTGCGACAAAAAAAGCTCACCTAAATTAATCGCTTCCTGACCGCCCTATATAATACTGCTACAGGGTGGCATGGGTGCGCATAATCACATATATGGCTAAATGGTTAGCACTTCCGCTTGGCAGTACTAGGGTCTTTGGTTTGAATCCCAACTACGACACCCCCCTTCCTGGAGTTTGCATGTTCTCCCTGTGCCTGCGTGGATTTCCTATGGGTACTCCGGTTTCCTCCCACATTCCAAAGACATGCTGGTAAGTTAATTGGATCCTGTCTAAATTGGCCGTAGCATGTGTATGTATGAATGTAAGTTACGGACCTTAAATTGTACGCCCCTTGAGGGTTAGGGACTGATGTGAATGTACAATATATACAGCATGTAAAAGCCCTGTGTAAATTGACAGCGCTATATAAGTACCTGAAATAAATAAATATATATGTGATTTTGCATACCCGGGTAGGGGGCACACGTCAGCTGCGTGCTTGCCCTACCCGCTCCAACATTCGTGGCCACGGCTGTCAAACACTGGGTCCCAGCTGGTAATTACTCACTGGCTCCCGGTGATTTCTGACGATCACCAACAGGGAGGAGGACTGTTTTGTTTACTAACAGTCCTCCTCCCTGTCAGCTCAGGCACACTGCTCTGGATGGCAGCACAGCCATCCAGAGCAGTGTGCTTACACTAGGAAAACACTCCCTGCACATAGTTAACCCTTTGATCGCCCCTCATGTTAACCCCTTCCTGCTCAGTGTCATTAGTACAGTGTCAGTGCTTTTTTTTTAGCACTGATCACTGTATTGGTGTCACTGGGGATATCAGAGACACCAAGTCAGTTCCCCCCAATGTCAGAATGTCTACCGCAGTCCCGCTATAAGTTGCTGATTGCCATCATTACTAGTAGAAAAAAAAATCCCAGTATCTATACTGCCATTTGTAAATGCTATAACTTTCACGTAAACCAATTAATTTACTCGTATTGGGATTTTTTTTTTAGCTAAGACATATAGCAGAATACATTTTGGCATAAATTTATGATGAAATATGATTTTTAAAATTTTTTTACTGGACATGTTTAATAGCAAAAAGTCCAAAATATAGTTTTTTTTCTCAAAATTGTTGGTCTTTTTTTTTTTATAGTGCAAAAAATTAAAAATGCACAGGCAATCAAATACCACTGAAAGAAAGCTCATTAAGTGGGAAAACAGGCCATAAATTTAATTTGGGTGCAGCTTTGCACGACTGCGCAATTGTCAGTTAAAGTAACTCAGATCCATAACGCAAAAAATGGCCTGGTCAGGAAGGGGGGTAAATATTTAGGAGGGCAAGTGTTTCTAAAGCTGCTATTGACAATGACATTTTCACCACATACTGTATAACAACCCGTGCAATTCATACATACAAAATCCTTTGTTGGTAATGACAGCTTCAAGATGCCTCCTGTATGGAGAAACTAGTCACATGCATTGCTCAGGTGTGATTTTGACCCATTCTTCCACACAAACAGTCTTCAAATCTTGAAGGTTCCGAGGGCCTCTTCTATGAACTTTAGTTCTTTCCATAGATTTGCTATTGGATTCAAGTCAGATGATTGACTGGGCCATTTTAGCATCTTTATTTTCTTTCTTTGATCCAGTTGAGAGTTCCTTTGACTTTGTGTTCATTGTGTTGCTGAAATGCCCACCCTCATTTCATCTTCATCATCCTGGTAGATGGCAGCAGATTTTTATCAAGAATGTCTTGGTACATTTTTCCATTCATCCTTCCTTCAATGACATGAAGTTTGCCAATATGTGTTATGCTAAAAAACAGCCCCACACCATGATGTTCCCACCTCCAAACTTCACTGTTGGTATGGTGTTTTTGGGGTGATGTGCGGTGCCATTTGACTTCCAAACATGATATGTATTATGGCATCCAAAAAGTTAAATTTTGGTTTCATCTGACCAGACTATATTCTCCCAGTATTTCACAGGCTTGTATAAATGTTGTGCAGGAAACTTTAAACAAGATTCAACATGCTTTTTCCTCAGCAATGGAGTCTTGTGTGGTGCGTGTACATACAGACCACGGAGGTTAAATTCATTACTTATTGTTCTCTTTGAAACAATTGTACCTGCTAATTCCAGGTCTTTCTGAAGCTCTCCACAAGTGGTCTTTGGCTCTTGGACAACTCTTCTGATAATTATTTTCACTTCTCTCTCAGAAATCTTGTGAGGAGCACCTGGTTGTGGCCAGTTTATGGTGAAATGATGTTCTTTCCACTTCCAGATTATGGCCCCAACAGTGCTCAATGGAACATTCAGAAGTTTAGAAATTGTTCTGTAACCAATGCCATCAGTATGTTTTGCAACAATAAGGTTGCAAAGGTCTTTTTGAGAGCTCTTTGCCTTTACCCATCATGAGTGTGACACCTTGGTAATGAGATACCTTTTTATAGGCCATCAGTTGAGACTGTACCAGCTGATATTAATTTGCACTGACAAGGGGCAGGATTGCTTTCTAATTACTGATAGATTTCAGCTGGTGTCTTGGCTTTCCATGCCTTCTTGCACCACCCTTTCTTCATGTGTGCAATACTTTATCCCTGTGTCATTCCATTTTTTATACTTAACTTAATTTTTGAACTTATGTGTTTTGGTTTCTTTGTATGTATGGATTGCATGGGTTGTTACTGGCATGTGGTGAAAATTTCATGTCAATAGCAAATTTAGAAATATATTTACTGAGAAAAATGGTGACATGTTCAAAGCTTATTTTACCCACTGTATATACAGTAAGCATGGAGACAGCTGTCATTCACAACTCCATATAGCGCATTTACTTTTTTTTTTCTAGAGTTTTGAAGCGTTTCTGCTCACCACGCATAGGGCAGTCTATTCACTTGGATGAGATGCCCTATGCGTGATAAACGCATAAAAGAAGTTCCATAAACTCTTTTTAGAGAGGAGCATGGCACGTTTGTTATCATGCTTTTTATTTATTTATTTATTTCAGGTACTTATATAGCACCGTCAATTTACGCAGCGCTTTACACATATAAAGTGTACATTCACATCAGTCCCTGCTTTTGGTATGTTTTCAGCGTGTTTGTTGCATGGCAAACTTGCACCTGCTACCCACGCATGGAGTTCCATTAACACTTAGTTGCGCTTCAGCAAAGCGTGTGTTTTCTGTGCAGTTTGCCATGTATTTGGAAATGCACAGATGTGAATGGAGCCTCTTTGTTCTTGTGTAAACACACCAATTTCAGGCCCCATCCACACTAGTGGCTCATTTTCCTGCATTTATCCAGAGCGGTAGTGAGAAGCTGACTTGGACTGATGTGAAAGAGACCTTTTGTTATTATACAGAATTATTATTACATAGAGACCTATGGAGGCTTAGATTTTATGTTGTGTTTGACCTCTTGTTAACATTAGGAACCATCCTAATAGGTGAGGACACACCCGAAGGACGCTGGTGGATGGAATCGGCATGCTGGGGGATTGTTAGTTTATGACACTGGAAGAATTTTTGTGGCAGATGTGCAACATATTACATTCACAATTGTTACTTTGGCACTTTTGTGTTTTACCTTTTTATGTTTTTTGCATTTGTAATTTTGATATGCAATATATCGGAGTATTTACACTATATGTTTTTTTTTAAATGTGATAATGTTTATATTTATGAGGGATAGCGAGTTAGACTCTTATATAAAATGAAGAGTCCATACAAGTCAGTCAGTAAGTAGGACCACCAGAGGGGTGCCTCAAGAATTTTGCACTTTACAAGCATGAAAGCACATTTGCACACTGAGAGACTACTTTATTTATGCTTAGTAATATATGTGAACTTGGACTTTACTGTGACACTGGTTACACTAATAGGATGTTATGGATGGAGAGTACCATATGAGTATACATGGTTTTGCTATTATATTTTAATTGGTCCTGGATGATGATTTATACATGTGAGGATTATTTTGCACAATTAGGCAGCACTTCTGTGTTATAGAATCATTTGTAAATGTAATTTGTCTCCTTCACTGATGTGCGCTGATGAGGCTGCACTGATGGGCACTGATAGGCTGCACTGGTGGGCACTGATGAGGCTGCACTGATGGGCACTGATAGGCTGCACTGGTGGGCACTGATAGGCAGCACTGAAGGGCTCTAATAGGCAGCACTGAAGGGCATGGATAGGCAGCACTGAAGGGCACTGATAGGTGGCACTGATAGGTGGCACTGATTGGCAGCACTGATGGCCACTGATGGAAACTGTTTGGCATTAATAGGCAGCACTGATGGGCACTTGCTGTGGCTGCACTGATAATCAAGGCACTGATAATCAGTGCCCAGATTATCAGTGTAGCTGTCTTCTTTCACACTTGCTTGATATCAGCAGTACTTTCTTCATGTTGTGACAGCGCGAGGAAAGTGCTGCCGCTAACCGGCAAGTATGTTTACATTGTGATCGGCTGTGATTGGACACAGCTGATCACATGGTAAACGGCTGCTATGATTGGCCATTTACCCTGGATTGTGACCAGCTGTGTTCAATGGACACAGCGATCACAGAGAGCGGCGGGTACACACCGCAGCAAGCGTGGTTCTGGGAGGACGTCAATAGATGCCCCACCAGAACTGGACGAGTTGTAGCCGTCATTTGGCTATAGTGCGGTCAGCAAGTGGTTAAAGGCATGCCACATATGTAAAATATAGTTCTTCAAAAGAGCCTCTTCCTACCATGGGGATGTCATTTACATATCTGACCCACGACAATATGTGGTACAAGAACATAGACAAGTCCTCATGGGAAAACAGGTCATGCTCTCATCCCCATAGGCACAAACTGGTGACTTGCACCTGCAGGAAGTGGGAGCCCAAGTATAAAAAAACACATTGCAACTAAGGACTTGCCTGGGCAGCAAAAATAAAATTGTTTAATTGTCAGGTGACTCTCTCTTGTTCCTATAGGAAGGAGGTCAGCGGGGACCTGTCTATGTACCTTTGCCACATACTGTCTTGGCACAGGTACATAGACAACATCCGCATGATATTGACAGGCTCTTGGGAAGAACTGTCTCAGGTAATTTCAGTTGTTGGGTGACAACAAGTATAAAATTTAGCTCCTAGACACTGATATTCTGATTATGCCAGCTACCACACTAACAACTACACTTTTTCACAAAGAAATTGGAGGAAATACAATTTAAGGTGGGCCATCAGTTCCTTCCCTAGGGCACTGATAAAAAGTATACCCTACAAAGAGTACTTAAGGTTGAGGAGAAATTGTACTAGAGACTTTGACTTTCGAAAGGAAGCTATAGTTTTAGGAGACCGTCTGCTGGATACAATAATAGGTCCTGAAAAAGATCTTACCAAAGAAATTATATTTTGATCTCCTGTTTAACAACAAACAGAAGAAGAATATAGAAAATGTTAAACGTATCACCAGGTTTTCATATGATGAGTTAATATATACAACATATACAACTATAAGCACCATTATAGTTCAGATGATGTCATTGTAAAACCTAATCCAGAAATAATTTGCAGAATGTGCACTTTTCTGCATGACAAGTTGCTTAAGAGTCAACATACAGGTAGCACCAAACAGGAGAATAAACCCAAGGGAACCTTTAAGTGTAGTGAGTGTTCTGAATGTCCCTGGATCAAGGAGGTAACTTCTTGAATACTCCTGAAAGGTGAGTTGTTCACCTCTGGACAACACATGAGCAGTGCCAGACCTGAGATGGTCTATCTAATGACCTGCAACTGTGTCGCATTCTTTGTAGGTAAAATAGTTTCATAAAGCACTGCATGACCATAGCTACAATAGTGGTAATGGCCAAACTGTGTCATTCATTAGCTGGAAAATTGGGCTAGTACATATTTATAATGTATCACTTGCATTTAATGGCCCTACATAGAATTTATGAAGATCCCTGGGAGGTGGAGGATAGTCATGGGCAGCACAGTGGCTAAATGGTTAGCACTTCCGCCTGGTAGTACTAGGGTAGCTGGTTCAAATCCCAACCAAGGCACCACCTGCCTGGAGTTTGCATGTTCTCCCTGTGCCTGCATGGGTTTCCTTCAGGTACTTGGGTTTCCTCCAGGTACTCTGGTTTCCTCCCAAAGACATGCTGGTAGGTTAATTGGATCCTGTCTAAATTGGCCCTAGTATATGAATGTTAGGGACCTTAGATTGTATGCCCCTTGAGGGTTAGGGATTACAATATATATGTAAAGCGCTGCATAAATTAATGACGCTAAATAAGTACCTGAAATAAATAAATGTCTTTGAAAAAAGCAAACTAACAGCAAGAAACTTGATGGATCTGTTTAAAAGTGACCACACACCCAGGCCTAAATTATGTGATTCGCTATAAGCCTTTTCTTTAAATCTGAAATTACCTCTAATAGTTGCATTCTAATATCTGGTGAGAAGTTTTTTGAGATCGAATATACTGATTAAGATGGTTCCTCTGTTTTTATTTCTCTGCTCCTGTGGATCATCAATTGTTATATTTTGTCCATAATGCATGTGGATTATTAAGTGTTACACTCTGTCCAGGGGCGGACTGAGAACTCATGGGGCCCCCGGGCAATAGGGGATCATGGGGCCCCTGTGTCCTTGCCCAAACTCAAAAAAAGCCAATGAAAAAGGTACCAAGGGCATCTCATGGGGCCCCCTACTGACCCTGGGCCCTCGGGCAGTGCCCGAGTTTCCAAATGGTCAGTCCGCCCCTGACTCTGTCTATAATGCATGTATAATGGACTAGTCCCTTATTTTAACGAGAGACAAATGGGTTGCTATGTTTGTACTATCTATCAATTCACACAAGTATGATATGCTTACCAAGTGGATTGTTTGAATTTCCAAATTGATTTACAGTATATTCATTTTAATTGTAAAATAGTTGTGCTGTTATGTTAGATTTTGGTTGTTTTGGTTTATGTTAGTATATGATGCTACTGTCAGTTGCTTCCTCTCCACTAGGTGTCCTTATCTGCCATTCTGTGCCGTGCTATTTTATGCTTGAGCCAACACCTGCCTTGTAATATTAGCAGGGAGGTTTGTTTGGGTGCCATCTAGTTGTTCTCTTTATGTTCCTTTCCATCTGCAATCTCTTTGGTAGGCTCAGAATGGCCACTGGTTGCTGAGGTGCATTGCCAATTTTGCCTCTTTGAGAGGTGGAACTGCGGCCATGTTGTGCGCATGCCTGGTCTTCTGCATCTGGCACATGTGCACTTCTGGCATGTGCACTTATGACATCATGCAGTGGCTGCCCCTTGACTTGCGTGTATGCGTGCAGTGGTAGATAAGTGGCAAGGCGCCATCTTTGTTGTTCTTAACACTGTCAGTACAGCAGAGGGGATGACAGCGGAGGTCATGTATTTATAATATACTCCTAAAACAGATCTTCATTCTATATGCTACAACATCTTTTTGGTGACAGACTATTCTGCATGGCAACCTGTTTGGAACTCTACAAAGCACAAACCAATCCATCATTTCCTTTCATTGATACTCTTTAGATTTTTCCCTTTTCTATGTGTCTGTTCAGCTTTCTGTATTCTTTTAGTTGCAACTCCTAAAACTCTGAGTGCTGCGTAAGAACAAGTCTGTCTGTATTGAGGCAATTTTTTGGGTCTCTTTGCTGTATAATAGTGTTTTCTTTTCATTTGCTCTCAGTTTAATATGAAATCACGGGAGACAATAGACTTCAATGTTTATAATATCACCCCTTGTGTCTTTAAAACATATTGTTTGCAACTCTGGGCTTTTAAATGCTGCATAAAAGCTAATCTAATTAGGCTAAGGCCATTTATTTTCTCATACAGAGAACAGTGCTTCCTTTCATTTACTCTCAGTGGACTATATAAGCACTGGAGATAATAGATGTTAGCGCTTATAATTTAGTTTTTTGAGCCTTTAAAGGCACAACAGTTAAATTTAACCTCAACTGTGGAACAGGTCTATACTCCCATTACAGAGTCAGATTATTAAGTAATTTAGTTGAGTTTAGGGATGTAACAGAGGCCATATACTATATACCGATTTTCATTTAATCTTTTATCTATATACAGGTGAAACTCAAAAATTTGAATATCGTGCAAAACGTCATTTATTTCAGTAATGCAACTTTAAAAGGTGAAACTAATATATAAGATAGACTCATTACATGCAAAGCAAGATAGTTCAAGCCGTGATTTGTCATAATTGTGATAATTATGGCTTACAGCTCATGAAAACCCCAAATCCACAACCCCAAATCCACAACCCCAAATATTGTGAAAAGGTGCAATATTCTAGGCTCAAAGTGTCCCATTCTACTCAGCTAATTAATCCATAAAACCTGCAAAGGGTTCCTGAGCCTTTAAATGGTCTCTCAGTCTGGTTCAGTAGGAATCACAATCATGGGAAAGACTGCTGACCTGACAGTTGTGCAGAAAACCATCATTGACACCCTCCATAAGGAGTGAAAGCCTCAAAAGGTAATTGCAAAAGAAGTTGGATGTTCCCAAAGTGCTGTATCAAAGCACATTAATAGAAAGTTATGTGGAAGGGAAATGTGTGGAAGAAAAAGGTGCAGAAGCAGCAGATATTACCCAGCCTGGAGAAGACTGTCAGAAAAGGCCATTCAAAAGTGTTGGGGACTTTCACAAGGAGTGGACTGAGGCTGGAGTCAGTGCATCAAGAGCCACCACACAGACGGATCCTGGACATGTGCTTCAAATGTCGTATTTCTCTTGTCAAGCCGCTCCTGAACAACAAACAACGCTAGAAGCGTCTTACCTGGGCTAAAGAAAAACAGACCTGGTCTGTTGCTCAGTGGTCCAAAGTCCTCTTTCTGATGAGAGCAACTTTTGCATCTCATTTGGAAACCAAGGACCCAGAGTATGGAGGAAGAATGGAGAGGCACACACTGCAAGATGCTTGAAGTCCAATGTGAAGTTTCCACAGTCTGTGTTGATTTGGGGAGCCATGTCATCTGCTGGTGTTGGTCCACTGTGCTTCATTAAGTCCAAGGTCAACGCAGCTGTCTACCAGGAGATTTTGGAGCACTTCATGCTTCCTTCCGCAGACAAGCTTTATGGGGATGCTGACTTCATTTTCCAGCAGGACTTTCCCACACTGCCAAAAGCACAAAAACCTGGTTCAATGACTGTGGGTTTACTGTGCTTGATTGGCCAGCAAACTCGCCTGACCTGAACCCCATAGAGAATCTATGGGGCATTGCCAAGAGAAAGATGAGAGACATGAGACCAAACAATGCAGAAGAGCTGAAGGCCGCTATTGAAGCATCCTGGTCTTCCAGTGCCACAGGCTGATAGCTTCCATGCCATGCCCCATTGAGGCAGTAATTGCTGCAAAAGGGGCCCAAACTAAGTACTGAGTACATATGCATGCTTATACTTTTCAGAGGTCCGATATTGTTCTATGTACAATCCTTGTTTTATTGATTGCATGTAATATTCTCATTTTCTGAGATTGTGGATTTGGGGTTTTCATGAGCTGTAAGCCATAATCATCACAATTATGACAAATCATGGCTTGAACTATCTTGCTTTGCATGTAATAAGTCTATCTCATATATTAGTTTCACCTTTTAAGTTGCATTACTGTAATAAATGAACTTTTGCACGATATTCTAATTTTTCGCATTTCACCTGTATATAGATAAAAGATTAAATGAAAATCGGTATATAGTATATGGCCTGTGTTACATCCCTAAACTCAACTAAATTACTTAATAATGACTCTGTAATGGGAGTATAGACCTGTTCCACAGATGAGGTTAAATGTAACTGTTGTTCCTTTAAAGGCTCGAAAAAACTAAATTATAAGCACTAACATCTATTATCCAGTGCTTATAGAGTTCACTGAGAGTAAATGAAAGGAAGCACTGTTCTCTGTATGAGAAAATAAATGGCCTTAGCCTAATTAGATTAGCTTTTATGCAGCATTTAAAAGCCCAGAGTTGCAAACAATATGTTTTAAAGACACAAGGGGTGATATTATAAACATTGAAGTCTATTGTCTCCCATGATTTCATATTAAACTGTGAGCAAATGAAAAGAAAACACTATTATACAGCAAAGAGATCCAAAATTGCCCCAATACAATACAGACAGACTTGTTCTTACGCAGCACTCAGAGTTTTTATAGCACCCTCCTAGGTCAGCTAGGGGGAACTAGATCCCAATGGTTAATCACGTGCTGGTTAGCAGCTCAGGTGAGATAGCCAGAGGGGTCAAATTATTGTCAGGGTTGAGAGACTCTGCAAGCCAGCCCCTCTGGAATTTTTCCCTGCTCTGAGGCTTGCGGAGGAGGGCCTTGGAGGCAGAGGGTGGATCTGAGGAGTGGCGGGCAGCACTCTTGAGGGACCTCAGCCAATCACCAACAGAAGGCTTGGCAAAGGGCTGGGACTCCCTAAAATGTGTTACAGCCTACTCAGTAGCAGAAGTGTGTGCTAGTCAAGAGAGTTGGAGGAAGATGTGAGGCTGGAGGAGGAAGGCTTCCAGGAGGCCTAGTGGGGTGGGGCCTGCCTGCAGGCCTGGAGCTCTGGAACTCACTGGCCTCCTGAGAAAGGACCATCTGTGTGCTGGTAGCAACAGCTCAGCTGCCATCCCAAAAGCACTACAGGAGATGATCTAAGTGAGTACACCTACACCCCCTTGGCAGATAGGGAAGGAGCACTCTGGTGGGAAACAGATGACTGTTCACCTCATCTAAAGGAACAGGAGCCAGATCCCTTGCTCAGGGAGAAAGTCCCCAGATTGCTAGGTGAAGAGGAGGGATCTGGGGTGGTTCAACAGTGCGGCTGGCACTCCAACAGAGACTGCATCAGAGAAGAGAAACTTGTGAATAGTTCAGAAAGTTGTCCTTGTATTTTGGTTCCTTGGGCATCCTTTACCCCCTTACCCTCTCCAAGTTCTAATCCCTCAATAAAATAACAAAACCAAACGCTCAAGGACTGAACTCTGTCTGTGGATGAAAGCTTGTGTGGAAAATGCTGAATGTTTGGCTGTGCAGGGTTATAGGGGGGGCCCTAATTCATCAGCAATCCCTAAGGGGGCAGTGCTATTTCCATTATAGTGCTTTATCACTAGCCATGTGCTAAGTGTGTCTGCCTTAAGCCTTGAGATGGGCTTGTTTCTTAAAGAGAAGCTAAACTCAGTAATTTAAAGTAGAACTTTACTAACAATTTGTAAAAAAATAATGTTCTTTAGCAATTACACTTTAATAATTATGCTACCAAAATTAATGTGTGCTGTAAATTGCCTCCAGCATTGCTCCTTTTTCTTCTTACTGGAGGCCGCCATTTTGTTGAAGCCCAGAGCACTGAGCAGCAGTTAACTGCTTAAGGACTGCTCTATAGCAGATATACTGCTACAGAGTGGCACCTGTGCGCAAAATCACATATATATACATGATCTTGCATTTCCGGGTAGGGGGCGCCCTACCTGCGCAGCCTGCGGATGTTAATCACCAGGTCCCGGCTGGTAATTACCCGCTGGCACCCGGTGATTACTGACAATCACCAACGGGGGAGAGAGACTGTTTTGTTTACAAACAGTCTTCCTCCCTGTCAGCTTGAGAACACTGCTCAGGGATGGCTGTGCACAGCACAACCATCCCGATCAGTGTGCTAACAATAATACACCCCCCCGCCCCCTAATAAAACTCTCCCAGCACATAATTAACCCTTTGATCGCCCCTCACATTAACCCCTTCCTGCCCAGTGCCATTAGTACAGTGTTAGTGCTTTTTTTTTTTAGCACTGATCACTGTATTAGTGTCACTGGGGAAGTCAGTGACACCAAGTTAGTCCCCCCCCCCCAGTGTCAGAATTCCACCTGCAGTCCCACTAAAAGTCGCTGATCGCCGCCATTACTGGTAGAAAAAAAAAATCCCAGTATATATATACCGCCATTTGTAAATGCTATAACTTTCACGTAAACCAATTAATTTACACGTATTGGGATTTTTAGTAGCAAAGACATGTTGCAGAATACATTTTGGCCTAAATTTATGATGAAATTTGATTTTTTAAAATTTTTTTACTGGACATGTTTAATAGCAAAAGTCCAAAATATTGTTTTTTTTTCAAAAATCGGTTTTTTTTTTTTTTTATTGTGAGAAAAAAAGAAAACACACAGGTGATCAAATACCACTGAAAGAAAGCTCAATTTGTGGGAAAAAAAAGGACATAAATTTCATTTGGGTGCAGCGTTGCATGACCGTGCAATTTTCAGTTAAAGTAACGCAGCGCTGTAACACAAAAAATGGCCTGATCAGGAAGGGGGTAAATCCTCAAGAAGGCAAGTGGTTAAAGCAGAGTTAAACCCTCCTATCTTTACAGCCAAGGAAGATGCCATTTGTTTGATCTGCAGTTGCCATGGTGCTGCACATATGATCAGTTATAACACCAGTTATTTGATGGTTTGACAGTTTGGTTTAGAACACAAGCAAATGTGACAGTTAGCATTCCTGGCATGTGCTGGGAATGTAACTGTTCTTTGAAACTGTTAAATCGATAGGTTTAGTTCCGCTTTAATCTTTAGACTGTCAGCAGATCGGCCTCTATAAATTAGGCAGTGCCTAAAAATGGGGAGCAACTGAGCATGTGCAGAGTTGGGTGAGACAGTTTAATACTGGATTTTAAACAGTATAGGCATTTATTTTTAATATTTTACTTAGCTATACCTGAGGCCAGCCTGAAGTGATCTAGGAAGACTTAATTTTCTGACTAAAGTTTCACTTTAACAATTTTAAAAAAGTTAAGTTACATTTCTGGCATGCTGGGAATGTAACATTTGCTTGTGCTCTCAACCAAAATGTCAAATCATTATATGGCTGGTGTTGAAACTGATCACATGTGCATCAAGGCAGTTGAAGATCAAACAGTGGCTAAAATGGCAGCTTCGTTGGCTGAAAAGGATAGGATGGTTTAGTTCCACTTTAAGAGGACTTCACAGGTTGAGCTCAGCATTCCATCCACTTGGAAAAACAGGGGTTATATTGCTCTAGCATCCAACTATGTTTGAATCTATCTACTCAATCCGCATTATTCAAATGTTTATTTGTTTATCTTTCAATGCCTTTATAGTACTTGACCATTTGCACTCCTGATGAAGGGGATTTAACAGTCTGGGAAACACGTTGAGTCCAAGGTTGCCTATTGAAAACGTTGATGGGAGCTGGATAATTCATCTACTATGCATTTGCCCTTAATGTGTTAGTTTGAGTTGCCCTTTAAAGAACGACAGTTCATTAACTTGTTAAGGGATCATTACATTGCTTTTTTTCTCTAGTTTTTAACAAGATGTGATTTTTTAATGGTTCATTTGTCTGAATGAAATTAATGTAATTTTAAACAAATTTGGACAATATGCAGTGCCTCAAAAGTCCAGCCACTTTTTAAAATTGCAAATTTTGCAACTCACTCACTGCACTTTTTTGATTTCTTTGCTATTATTGAGAGCTAAGGCCTCTGGAAAAAAAATCTGCACATCTTATAGGTTTGCCAGTTGCCTGCATGCCCCACTTTGTGCTTCAATTTGCTGATCTCTACATCAGAACATGACATGGTAGCCAGGTAAGAGATGGGTAATTGAACCACAGTTCAGGCGGAGGATGTGGAGATTCTGCTGGAGACTTTAATTATAATATTAACGATCATCTTTTGAAATTATTTTTTAAGAATGAGAATGTCCCTTTGATGCTGGAAAAATGTTACTTTGTAGGTCCTTGAACATTCTTTACAGACTTCTAATTCACTAGGGTGAATGGGTTTGCTAAAAAATGCTTATATATGGCTCCATGGGAACCATTACCAAATGTTTTTTCCACAACTGCAGAGGGTGAAGCTGGTTTATAGGAATGCATATTTCCACATATTCTTCACTCTTCTACTGTTTTCTAGTCAGAAGTGTTAAGCAGAATTCAACAGGGAATCTATTTTTATTTAGGTAGCATAGGGAATTATGAGTTTGAATTAATGATTGGCAAATCCATCTGGCTTAGACCCAAGGTACCCAGTCAGGGAGAAATCACACATAGCCCTTGGCTGTTATGACCTGCCTTGTATTTTGAAATACATGTTAATTATATTGAGTGTTGACACCTCTTGCAATGCAATACTGTAGTTTGTGTTTACACTGTGTTATCAAGTTCTGGCCTGTATTACCAGAGGATGTCTTCTGCTGGAGGGCTGGTGGTTTGGAATTCACCGGGGCAGCACTGTAATGCATCTAAGGAGAGCCCCATGTCACTATTCCTGGTAGTTTCTTTGTTACAGGCATTGGCCCTGTTCTGCCCCAACTTGCCAGGAATATTCTCCCTGCAGTAATCTCTTTTCCTAGCCAGCAGGTATCTGTCCCTGACCTACCACTCACTCCAGGCACACCCCAATTGATGGGGGGCCCTATATACTGTATAAGTTTCCCTGTCAAGATAGCCACCTGAGATCTCAAGAGATTGGACTAGCTTCTCTGACACATTGATAGAGTCCATACGGGGACAGTTCCCTTATCAGGACCACAGGCTGGAAGAGAGCCTACACCTGCCTACAGATTTGCCAAGTGGTTCTGTTAAGAACCACTACATGCTGAACCATATTATGGAACTCTTTGATCACCTTCATAGAGCTTAAGTATTCATGAATTAGATCTAAGATGTGAACACAACTTGATTCGCATTAAGGCAGCAGATGAGTGACAGACTGCATTTAACATCAGGAATGGAATGAACAATGGACTCTACACATAACCAGTAACGCCCTTCAGCCTCTGTAATGCCCCTGCAGTCTTACAGCACCATGTCAACTAAATCTTTTGAGCTCGCCTCTATGAGTGTGTTGTCTACCTGGATGATATTTTCCTACCCTTTTTTTGTAGCGTATTTATGTGCATTTTTGTGTTACGTAGTTACATAGTTGGTCTGGCTGAAAAAAGACAAAAGTCCATCCAGCTCAGCCATTAAAAAAAAAAGGTTCTAATCCTACACCCACAGTTGATTCAGCGGTAGGCAAAAAAACCCCCAGCAAAGCATGATCAAATTTGCTCCTGCAGGGAATAAAATTCCTTCCTGATCCCCCAAGAGGCAATTGGATATTCCCTGGATCAACTTTATGTATACATGTTATCCTTTATGTTCTGTGTTTCTAGGAAAGAATCCAGGCCTTTTTTAAAGCAATCCACTGAGCTGGCCAGGACCAATTCCTGAGGGAGTCTATTCCACTATTTTCACAGCTCTCACTGTGAAGAAACCTTTCCGTGTTCGAGATTAAATTTCTTTTCCTCCAGATGTAAAGAGTGCCCCCTTGTCCTCTGTGATGACCTTTTTTTCATGCATTTTCATGCATTTTTGTTTTAGCCAGTGATGACTAGCATTATCTGCTGTGAAATCATTGCTTTTAGAAGAAAATAGGATTTTAAGCAAAGAAAACACAAAAAGTGCCAAAACCATTTATACATGCGTTTTTCATATGCTGCCATTGAAATCTATGGGCCAAAAAACACAATATGCTACACCATTACCTATTACCCCCAGTTCACATATATGCAGCTGTGCGGGCCGCGTTTTGCGCGGACATGAGAGCCCATTCATTTGAATGGACTCCCGTGCCCCGTGACAAGCAGGAAAGAAGTCATTGCACTTCTTCTGAAAACGCAGTCCGCACAGGAACCTCGGTTCACGGGCTCCAGCGTGTACCATTAGAACTAATGGTCCGCTGGTTCCTCTGTGCAGGTGGTGCGGCTGCATGGATTTTCATGCAGATCTGCAGCCGCACCACCCACACAGATGTGAACCTAGCCTTACTCTACATATGTGCTCATATTAATTACACACCATAAATACACATTTGATGTTCAAAAAAGATTTACAGGGAGCTGTAAAATATAGTTTTTTGATATTTGTCATTGCTCTCTTGAAACTATTTTTTTAAGTCATGTAATTGGTACAGCACCAATCAGGGCTGTGCAGACACAGACTCATAGGGGTTGATTTATTAAAACTGGAGAGTGCAAAATCTGCTGCAGCTGTGTACCGTAGCCAATCAGCTTCTAACTTCAGCTTCTTCAATTAAGCTCTGACAAAAAAAAAAAAACCTGAAGCTGATTGGTTTCTATGCGGAGCTGCACCAGATTTTGCACTCTCCAGTTTTAGTAAGTCAGCCCCTATGAGTCTGTGTCTGCACAGCCCTGATTGGCACTGTACCAGTCACATGACTTAAAAAAAAAAAATAGTTTCATGAGAGCAATGACAAATATCAAAAAACTATTTTACAGCTACCTGTAAATCTTTTTTGAACATCAAACTTGTATTTTGTGTGTATTAGTATGGTGTAGGGCCAGGCGGAGTCAAAGATGATTGATGCTAGCTTTCATTTTGTTCAGACAGCAACGGCATCCAAGGCTCTTTTTCACTTTACAAGTATTAACA